TGGCTGCCCACAGCGTCAAATATAGGAGAGTGCAAGAGATCTGGCCACATGCTGGAGATCCAAAGGCTCCAACCAAAGACCTGAAACACACTTAAGTGTACTAAAGGAATTCATATCAGGAGGTCTAAGGATCCATGATGCAAGTCTGAGGGGTCTATGCCAAGAGGTCGAAGGGTCAGTGCTAGACGCTAATGAGTCTGCCCTGGCAGGCTGAAGGGCTGGTGCTGGAAACTGAAGAGTCTGATCTGAAAGCCAGGAGATGACCCCGAAGGCAAAGGTGAAGACTGAAGTTCCTCCAAAGAGAAGAGTAGTCATCCTTGGCTCTGGCAAGGACCAGAGTTCCTCCAACAAGAACAGCTACTCCCCTGAGGAAAAGCAGCTGAAACCCTTCTTTCCCATTCTCCTTTTATACCGTTAAAGTGGCTCTTCCATGCCCAGAACCATGACTCAGTTAAGCTGGGCATTCCCCACAAAAGCTGACAGTTAATCAATGAACCACCACAGGTGACCGCGTGCCAACATTAGGCTACCCGTCCTGAAGTAAGCCTATCCTTGCTCTTTCTCGCTGAATTTCCTGGCCAGTAAATGGAGCTGGGAACTGGGGAGGCCCCTGGGATGGAAGTGAGGGTCTGTGGTTTTGTGGAGCAAGCAAAAACTGAACTGGGCGTGACACTTAGTCCTTGTTCTGGCCTTAGCAAGAGCTTTGAGCATGTCCTTCCTCCTTTCTGGTCTCTGTCAACAGTGGGGGGCCAGTCTTCTGCTCTTCCACCTTGAGAGGTGAATGGAATGGATAATGGAAAAATGAATGATGAAGGGTCACCAAGGTAAAAGAATGCTAAAACAACTCATCGGTGGCCAGATTCTGGATTTATGACCATCTTATGTTATTGGTCAGAATAAAGAGAGCTCTACTCAGCCATGATGTAATACTTCCTTCTTCCAAGCTGCCTGAGGTGGATTTTCCATTTTTTAAAATTTTGCCCTCAGTTTTTAAATTTTATTTTTCTCTAGATGTAAAATATTCCCATTGAAGGCAATATGGAAAACACTACAATGTATAAATAAAGAAGAAAAATATAATATCTCTAGCCAAAGCAGCAATTTAAAATTTGTTTTCAGAATAGATTTAATTCCAGGGCATTTTAAATGTATTCTTTAATTACAGCCAACATTAGAAAAAATATTTATAATTTTAAGAGCTATATGTTAGTTTACTTATTTAACAAAACTATTATGTCTCAAATTTTAAAAAAATTACTGTATTTTATTTTAAAGAGGATAAAAAGAATAAAACCAAATCAAAACAAACCAGTGTAAGAGATACAAGACTTCAAAATATTACAAAATCAGCAATAGTTACCATAATGCCTTTTGGTGTCTTTAGAATAGCTGCAGATAACTTCAGACATAGTAAAAATCAAACAGAACAGAATAGAATAGAAACAAAAGCAAAACAATGAATGCAATAAAGGACTTCCAAACAAGCCAATAGTAAATTCAAAATTGCTATTGTCATATCTTGCTATCTTTGAAATAGCTGCTCCTGTCATCGGATTTGACATAATCAAACAAAACAAAAGAAACTAAAACCCAACCTAACAAAACAATGGAAAAGATGTAGAACTTCCAAAACAAGACCAATGGCTGCAACCCTCAGAAGGAGATTCCCTAGATGCCACACTGAGTACCACTATCCTCCTAACCCATGATCAGACTACTGGTCCTAGATCTGCAGTGTTAGTAAAACACCAAAGCACCACAGGCATCCAATTGCATTTCTCTCATCACATGTGTTTCTCTGGATAAGCTGGTGGCTTATGGTGGGGGTGGGAAGGTCGGGTTGGTACTCCTTGTTTGCCAACCCATGTGATGAAGGGACTTGGGTCTGTCTGTCTATGTCTAGCCGCAGCCCACACATGGTGCTTGTTCCCAGGCTCAGCTTCCTTCTTGGTGTAGCTTTCTTTTTACTATTGGTTCGTGAATGGTTAAATCTCAGATTTTTAAGTTGATTCAGTTACATTATTTTAAACAATTGGCATATACCTTTGGACATAAATATGTATTGTTTCTTTGGAAGACATAAGAAGTAGAATTGCTAGATTAAAGGACAAATATTTTTTGGTTTCTTCCATATACTATTATTTTTATATTCTCACAGAAATCTAAGTTAAGAAATAGGATAAAGTCGAATGTTTTTTTTTGAGGAAGAGACTTATATGCTCTTTGGACCCATTTTCCCTTGATGTTTCTCTAAGGAAGAAGTCTGTGATTTCTTTTGCAACCCTCTGTAGCCAAGAGACCCAGAAATTTTATCTTATTTGGTCATTAGGTATTAGTTGCCTTTAGTATTGGATATTGTGGTGGTCTGCATACTAAAAACTATCACTAAAATGACACTTTTTTGATATCTAAATTAAATGCCCTAGCTCCAGAATAGAATTTGAATGAACTTGAAGCATTTCACTGACATTTTGTTCATATGGCATAATTTTTACATTTCACATTAAACCACAAGGAAACTTTCCTTTTATCGTCAGTTCTTTACACCCTGCATATTTATTTCACATTTACTTCTGATATTGTGAAAAGAATAACCAATTTCCTTTTAACTGTGAATTGGGAGGTATGAAAAAATCAGGCTGGTTTCAACTGGGAGGAATGAAATATTTCAACAGTCCAGAGGCATATGCAAATGCTTAAGATTAGAAAACCACAGAAATGACAATCCCTGATGAGAATCCTGAAATCTGAGACTGTGCATGTGTGTGTGCATGCGTGCGTGCGTGTATGAGTGAGTGTGACGCTGTGAGTTTCTGTGGGTATGGCTTGATTCCTAACGAGTGTTTGGAGGCTTTGGGCCTCTCTGGTAATAGATTGGAGGCTAGTGCAGGCGAGATCAGGTTTGTTGGAGCATTAGAGATAAGAGATGTGAAGCACTAAGCACAGTATGAATTATGAGAACTCAATACAGAAAAAATAATGAAAACATCTTAATGAATCATTTTAGTTGATCCTGCAGAGTCATGCAATTTGTTGGCAATAAAGTCAGGACAGAAGTGCAGTGGATCCCAGGCCCAGGGCTTTCTGTAGTGGGTTGTATCAATCCTGATACACCGGGCATTTTGGCAAAAATTGTAGTGGTTGATCCTGCAGAATGTCATGTGGAAGAAGGAGGAGGCTCAATACTACCCAAGAGAAAGGCAGAAGAAGTGGGCATCCCATTGAAAGATTATTTAAGCCCCTTTTTCTTGACCTTAAGATAACATACTCTGTGGTCAGCTACAGGAAACTCCCAGGGATTTTTATGCATAACAGTGGTGACTCATACTGTGAGCATGTACTTGTGGCTTGACTCATTTAGTTCTGTCTTTTTTTTTTTTTTTTTTTTTTGGTCTTTTTCGTTTTTATTGGTACCAGGGATCGAACTCACGACTGCCTGCTTGCAAGGCAGGCGCTTATGCCGCTGATCTAAACCCCCAGTCCCTATTTACTTCTGTCTTTGCAGAGAAATGCTCCTAAATTTTAGGAAATCTAAGTTTGAATAACACTAAATTACAAAACTGAGCACAATTTTTCTTTCTCTTCCCCTCCTCTTCCCTCCTTCTCTTCTCTTGTTCTCTCTCTCTGTCTCTCTCTCTCTCTGTCTCTCTCTCTCTTTTTCTGTCTCTCTCTCCCTCCTCTTACTCTTTTTCTCTCATTCTCTTTTCTTTCTTTCTGTGGAGACTGACCCCAGGGCATTCATTGTACCTGGTTGGCATGTGCTTTCCCAGTGAACGCCAACTCTAATCAGAGGATAATCTTAACTAACCAATTTTCTAATATTGTTTAAAATTGAATGTAAATATTTTCCTTCACATTATTAAGTTTTAATAATCATTTTCTTTGAAAACTAGAGAAATATATTAAATCTTTCTTTGTATATTATACACACTTTGATAATTCATTGATAACTTAGAACTCTGAAGCTTTTCTTGTAAGTTAAAGATTGACCAAAGAAAGAAAAACATTAAACAAAACAATGAGTCTGCCTGTTTTCTAAGGACTCTGAAGCCCTAGAATGGTGGTGGTGTATAACAAATAGACTGGGGGACCCAGACTGGTCAAGTTAGCTGCGGATGCTTTGGCTGTAAAAAGAGGTTAAGAATGAGACACGGCTCAAATAGTCCAGTGCATTTTATTGCTATCTTTTTTTCCTATACATGTTAGTAAACAGATGCTTCCTTTTGACCAGGTTCCCTCTGACATGTGACTTTACACTTGGAAATATGAGCAACTAGTACTGGGACCCTGTGGTAAAGTATTTTTACAAAGCGAACCAATAGAAAGGAAGGCAAAACTGAGCTATAGGCAGAGAAAAATAGTGTCTTGATCATATTCTTTGATCCAGCTGTGCCTGAAGCCAGCTAGGCATTAGATGTCTCAGTTATATAAGAGTTGTGTAAATTCTCTTGTTTGTCTTAAAGTTGCACAAGTTGTATATCCATTACTTAAGTCAATCTTTTTACTTGTATTATTTCATTATCCTTGTTTTATAGATGGGGAAAGTAAGACTTGGAAAGGATAAATACTTTGTTTTTAGTTACCATCTAGGAAATGATGTGACCTGGAATTGAACTTGTGCCATTCTAATTTTGTAGCTCATGCTGTTTCGATAGCCTGGTATAGACTTAATGGGTACAGCTTTTTGAGCTACTCAATCCAATGCTTGGCAATATTGCAAGGACAGGGCAATGACACTTCAGGCAGGTATATTCAAGGTTAGACAGACTAAACTAGTCCTTGGACTCTAAGCCCCTGGGAATCCCTGACATTAAGATTTCCAAACTTTCAGAAAACACTAACAGGGCTGGGTCCTGATGGCCACCAGGTACCCAGGCTGGAGCTGAGAAAACACGTTTTGTAGGCAGAATTACTCCTGGGAAGATATATTTAGCTCTGAGGTTCTCAGACTTCCATTTGCACTTCCTAAAGCTTATGAAAAAGAACAGAAGCCATTAGAATGGAAGAAAGCAGTGCTTTTAATAATTACCAAAACATACAAGTTAATACTCAATGCATATACAATAAGAGAATAACAATGAAACATTATAAAGCGCAATCTAATGATGTAGAGACTTTTAAACAATGAATGTTGATACACATGTGCTAATAAGAAACTCAGCTGAGCCTCACTGCCTCAGATCTGGCCAGGAAATTTCTGATGGGCGGTGTGTGTGGGGATAAAACTCATTTTGCTCATGGTCTTCAACTCAAAGGAAGCCTCCACTCAGTTCCTGAGAACTCTTAACAATCTGAGCTCTAGATGGCTTATCTTTCACTTTTTCCCTAAAATTATTTATCTGTTTATTTTTTACCCTACCTCAGCCAATAAATTCCTTGAGTGCCCTGTCAAAACTGCATAAAAGTGCAGAAATGTGAAAATCTCTGAGTTTACTTCTCTGGTTTTGGTGGACATAGCTCCTACTGCTCAGTGAATCACAATCTAGTGTTTATCAAAACATTGTTCAGCCTGAAGACCTCCTTTGAATATTTACCAAGCCCTCTGGGCTGATTTCATATATACTATTGATGTAAGGGCTCTCCTACCCCCCAATAATAACCAGATGGACAGTCTCATAGTATTGCTGCTGCTCTCTGGTTTGGCAGGATTTTTTTTTTTTTTGTACTAGGGATTGGAACTCACAACCTCATGCTTGCTAAGAAGGTGCTTATGCTGCTGAGATAATTCCTTAGCCTAGTTTGGTAGTTTTAAGAGACTGCCCCCACCTCCGTTTCCCATGGAGCCTATTCTGGCTTTGGTGGTGAGAAGAAATTCTTATGTACAGGAAGGAATTGAGGTTTTCTGTTACAAACAATAGTAAACAAACCCAGGGAAGGCATGTGACTGCAAAGAACTTTTGATTTGGCCTATACATCCACTGTTCTACCTATTCTAGGTGAATCTGGTGAGGGAGACAGCTGTCAAGAGTTACAAAACTAAGCATGGTGTCAGAGGCTGCTGTCAACTGGCAGTGACCTGTAGCATGAGTGAAAATATAAGGTTAAATTTAGGCTTACCATTTTTAAAAAGAACTGGTTTTTAACCAACTTTCTGAGGGCTTGCTGTATTTCTTTTCTTTCTTTCTTTTTTTTTTAAAGCTGGGTTGTACTCATTTTTATTTGTAGTCAGAATCATGGAAACCTCAAAAGGAAAGAATTGGGGTCAGGAAGCTTTTTGTAGAATTTGGACTTATGTGTGACTTTACAAAGTGAAATACAGACAATATCAAAGACAAAATTTTTCATTTTCTTTTATCTATATTTTTAAGGGTGACACAGATTTAGTATATCAGTTTTCTAATACATTACTTATTCTAACATATAGTTGGGACTTAGATTACCAAAAAAAAAAAAAAAATCCTTTTATCATTCCAGTGGGGACCATTTCTGACTTGTCCCAGAAGGTGAGTCTCCAGTGCAGAGCCCAGGAAACCCCTGGGGCAGGCTTGCTGGAATTCAGCAGATGTCAACGGAACCAGAAAGGCTTGGTTGCCTCACTGAAAATCACTTTGGTCCAGTAACTTTTAAGATCATAACATTAAAAAAAAAAAAACCTCGTATAATGGACTGGAGAAAGTAAAAATATCTTTCCTCTTTCATTTTTTTCTCCAATTAGTATTTATTAGTAGTCAAGTTGAAGATGAAGACAGGAAAAAAATCAAATAGCAGAAAATAATGTCTTTTGATCTACTTGCTTCCTTTCCTTTCAAAAATTTCCTTTGGCATAAGCTAGGAAATAGATCATCAATGCATTCATTAAATAGAAGGAGGAGAAAGACTGTTTAAATCATCAAAGTGTCAGGAAGGCAAACCACATTCTACAGCAGATTAAAAGAGTTATTTTAAAAAAGACACAGAATTATAAAACATGAGCCACATAACTTCTAATTCATAAATGATAACTCAGTTGTCTTGTGGTGGAATATTTAGAGACAGAGACACATATGTGGCCAAGACCATCTGGTCTCGCTGCAGATGAAATCAAGGCCTTACTAACTTCCAACTGTAAGTTAAAAGCAAAAAAAAGTCAAGTAAAACCTCCTTTTTTTTGGGTGAGCTCTCTCTGAGGAAGAGTTTCTTCTGCATATGCCCAAGGTTCTTGGAGCATTACACATAGTCGTACTTGGAAGGATGCGACTGTCCCTCATCTTCCGTATGGGCACCCCCGTCATATATCTTCTTGGTCTTGGTAGGAGATCCAAAGCCAGTGCTGGCCTTGAAGCCTTTAGGGTTGTAGGCAACATTGTGACCTGAGGTGTGGTAAGACACGGCTCGGTAGCTGAGGGAAAAGAAATGTTCCATGAACACAGCTGTCCTTAGCAGGTGGACCAATCTCCCCATTTACTCTGGATAATTTCAATTTTAGCATGAAAATCCAGTGTCCTTGGCAGGCCATTAGTCCTGGGAAAACCAAGATGGTTGTTCAGCCTGTCCTTTAAGACACTAGATTTCTGCCTCTGCATCAAGCAGAATTTCTTGCTTTCATATTAGAGCTTCACTGAGCTGGTAGTTCATAATTAGTGAATTCTCTCTGTTAGTCAGTTAAAAAATAAGGAAACTAAGAATAATTTCCCAGGAAACATTGTATTGCCAAAGAATCACAGAATTCATAAGCTGGAAGGTACTTATGTACAACTTATCTCCCTTAGTTTGCTTATTTTATGGGTAATGTATGGTTGCTATGATTTGAAAGTGATTGTGTCATGGGCAATTAGTGCTTTAGGAAAGGTCTCAAGGTTGAAGAGAGCATCCTCTGTCCCTATCTCTCTGCCATGTGATGCCAGTGTTTTTCTTCTCCAGGGAATACAGCACCAAGGCACATCTTGGAAGTGGAGATTGGGCCCTCACTAAGATACCTAACCTGCCAGCATCTTGGGTCTTAGGCTTCTCAACCTCCAGAACCATAAGAAATACAATTTTATTGTATACAAATTATCCATTCTGTGGTATTTTGTTATAGCAGCCCAAGTGGACTAAGACAGAGGCCTTGAGGGGACAGATAACCTGCTGGAGATCAGAGGACCAGTTAGCAGTAGAGTCACACTGGAACTTGCTCTGCAAACTCTAGGTCCACTTGTGGAGTTATAACATGGTTTTGTAACACCCTTACCAGTGGCATTTTGGAATGGATATTCCTTTTCTATGAGGGACTGTCCTGTATACTGTAGGATATTTAGTAGCATCCTTACCCTGTACCCTGTACTAGATGCCAATATCAACTTCCTCTACCCCTTACCAAAGTTGCAACCAACAAAATTAACTTCAGACATTGTCAAATATGCTGGAAAGTGGTGAAAGGGCAAAATGTCTCCCAACTGAGAATGACTGAGTTCAGAACTTTGGAGCTAGAAGGAACTGAGGAATATTTCTTTTTTCTTTCAAATAGTGTCACTACTAATCTTGCCATGTTGACATTTTGCTGTTCTGTTTTTTATATTCCCCAGACATGGAAACGTTCAATGGACCTTTAGTCAATAAAGTTCTTCCAAACACATTAAAATGGACTCTGAACAAATGAAGTGTCTGATTGCATGGAGCTGGAAGACTTACTTGGTTTGCTCAGGTACCAGACCTCGGCAGGCAATGCACATCAACACACCCCCAACTAGTGTGAGGCCTCCAGCAACCCAGCCCACGAACAGAGCTGAACCAAAGGTGTACCTGAGGGGAAAATTGGCGGCTGTGAATGTAGTGAACTCAGTTCTTCAGGCTCCCCGTCATGTCCATCTTCCCTGTCCTCCCTTTAAAAATACTTCCTTCTATGGGCAAAAGAGAAAGGCCTAGAAGACTTGGTAAGAGACATTTCCTAAATAAGAAATCTGTCTCAAGTTACTATTCTTGAAGAACTTTTAGTTCTTTGAGTCCTCACTGGGCCAAGAAGCATTCACATTACCTCTTCTTGTCTCTTCTGAGGTAATTCCTTGGATATAGTCTAGGCATTGAGTATCTCCCAAAGGCCTGGGTGTTGAAGGTTGAAGGTGGCCGAACCTTTAGGAAGTGGGTCTTAGTGGGAGTGTTTCTGATCATTGTGTGTGTGGGGATGAGGGGGTGGGATGTGCTTTAGAAAAGAATTAGGGCATCCTGGTCCCTTATTTCTTTCTTTTCTGCTTACTGGTCGTGAGGTGAGTAGCTTGCTGCCATCATACACTCCTTGCCATATGACACTCTCATTAGAGGTCCAAAGCAATGAGTCTTCCAGACATGAGTCTCAAATCTCCAAAACTGTGAGCCAAAATACACCCTTTCTCTTTATAAGTTAATGATTTCAGATATTTCATTATAGTAATTAATGGAAGCTGTCAAATACACCTTGCTATCACAGGTAAGAGTATTATCTTGAAGAAGAAGTAAGTTGGAAGTGACCACTCATTCTTTCATTTACTCTTTTGTTTAAAAACTGGATATTGTTTGGGTCAGGGATGTAGCTCAGCAGTATAGCACCTGCCTGGTAAGCACAAGGCCCTGAGTTTGATGCCTGGTACAAAAAACAAAAAACAAAAACAGAATAAAACAACTATATATTGCAGTCCTACTGTGTGCTTACCACTGCCCTGGCATTGAGTATAGGGATGAGTAAGACAGGCAGAGATGCTTCCTATTCTAGCCTGCACTGGTGTTCCAACCTGACACTGAGAGCGTCTGACACTGAAGCTGATGCCTTTGCTCTATGTGAGATGTCTCTCCTGGGACTCCCTTAATTCAGAACAGGATGGAGAACAAAATATGAAAATAAAATAACTGTGATCCCAAATAGACACTTTGGATGGTGCAGAGAGGTATCTCAGGGACTAAAAGCTATTAGAATGTAAGTACTTGATGCTGGTTAGAAACGACCTCCATCTGCAAAAGGCCAGCAGAAAAGAGCCTAGAACAGTAGATGGTGCCCCTTAGAGGTCTCCTTTGTGTTCTCTAAGACTGTAGTTACTGTCTGCAGAACACCACAAATCACTTACTTTTTAGGTGTACTATACGAACTGAGAATATTATGCTGGCAGTAGGAAGACAGCCATGTGTGCAGACCTCCGCAGCCAAAGAAAACATGTTACTTTGGATGTACTTAAAAGGTACATACATTATAGTATGATTAAAATTAACAGTGCAAGACTATGATCAAGTGTAATGTGTAGAGAACTAGTTGACTGAGCTCAGTCTTTGAAAAAGTTTGGGAGAAAATTTATATGTATACAATTTTTATTTCTTTTGTGCTAGGAAAAAGACAGACATTTGGTTTGAGGTTACTGCCTTGGAATGAAGAACCCCATTCCTCATCAGTCCTACCCAGCGAGACCCGAGACTGAGCAGACTCCTTCCTGGGCCCTGGATGACTTTACTGGAGGTAGGACTGGTCTCTCTGCCCAGACACAGACAGAGCCCCGTCCTCAATGTCCCTAAAGATTGGTGAGAGGCTGTATCATGATATTGATGCAACAATACTTGTTACCATTTATTGAGCTCTTGATGGTATTTTTATAAGTACTTTTTCATCATCATCTCATTTACTTTCCCTAATAGCCACTGTAATAATATTCATCATTCTCATTTTACAGATGAGAAAATTGAGGGTCAGAGAGAACAAGGGTACAAGATTCTTCTCCTCAACTTAGGGACACAGGGTTAAAGTTTGCAAACTTAAACACACATACCTGGGACAGGCAAGAAACTTAAATAAGTGAGGTGATCAAGGCATAAGAAAATATTTACTTTTCTTAACTCTAACATAGGGAGAGAAACTCCATAAATGTGATAAATGGACTCAGAGTTGGGCCATTTGAGAGAAGCAGGAGTGTGGTAAATTGGAAAGGGTGAGTCCTCGCTCAAAGAGCAGCTGCCTCTCAGTGCAGAGAAGGATGCTTTATGAGAATGAGAGCCCAGATCTGCCAGATCTGATTCTTTTTTCTACATGAAGCTGAGAAATGGATGTGTGTGTGTATGTATGTGTGTGTATTGTGAAATCTGCTTGCACAGGCATTAATAGTTCTTTGCCCCTCTAACCATACACGTGTGCTTCTTCTCCAGCTTATCTTCTTTTGCCTTTACCTAGTGGTCCCTTGCTGGTCTCCCTGGAGTTCTGTCTTTGCTTTAGCCCCGGAAATCTTTGGTCCATGTACACTAAGAGTGACTGGCGTGGAAATATGCAAGCTCAGTCTTCAGTTTAGAGACAATTTTAGGTGTAATTTGCACCTGACAATGGCTTCTCTCAGGGTCAGGCTGTCAGAAACACATCTGAAATCACACTCATACTTGGCTCTTCCCTTTCCTGTTCTGTTTTCCCCACTCCCTAACCTACCTCCCTTTCCTTAATACGCGCTTCTACAGGATCCTCTTCTCAGGATCTGCTTCAGCGGAACATGATCTGTGGCATTTCTAATTTTAAAAGTGGGTGATGAATCCAGATTATAAAACGAGATGTTTAGGCTAATACAAAACACCTTGCAGGCAGTGGTACTGGGAACGCAGGAACTTTCCGCTCTGACCCGGGGCGTAGGCTTGGCCAATGTTACCCGCAACATTGCAGTGACAGAGGAGAAGACAGTAAAGGAGGAGCTGTGACGTAATGAGGCATGAGAACTAAAGTGCCATCAAATGGATTGCCAAAATCTTTCTTGGCAACTGGGGTGTCTTGTATGATTTCTAGATAGAGAAAATGAGAAAAAAGGGGGCAGGCAGCTGCTCATTCATGGAAAGAGACATCCAGAGGCCTCTCAGAATTTACAGTCTGAATTACAGACTGAAGCTGTCTGCTTAAGGGGATGATATGAGAGAGTGGTAGGTGATATCTCTGGGTGCTGGTGGGTGGGTCCTCTGAGTAAGGGTAGTGACACCAGGCACCACCCAGACATTCTGGACAGGGTGAGTTTTTTTTTTTTTTTAAGTAACTGACCAACAATTCTGCTTTTTCCATGATGGAGACATTTCCCAGGATGTGGGAATTCTAGTGCTCAAACTGCGAAAGTCTTTAGTAAACTGGAATAAGTTAGTCAGCCTATTTCTATGTTGCCTTTGTAACAAATAAACCATGGGAGGAATATGGCAGAGCATGAGGACAGCTAGTTTATGGGGATATTTATTTCCTCATTCTTGAAGAAAGCAGAAATATAGAGGTGATTGGACCAGGGATCCAAAGAGTGATGGATTTATCACATTATAACACCTGTTTATGTTGGTGTGGCTGGAGAAACACCAAGTGTCCCTACATAGAGAGGGCTATGCTCTCCCAGAACAAGATCTCTCTCCTTCAGGATTTTGCTGTTGCTTCTTGCTATCAAATACATCAATTTGAAATGGTTAAATGAATACAGGAGTTAGTATTGGTTTTCTATCTTTTAAAAATTATACTCCAGTCACCAAAGTGTAGGAGGATTGCATCTTCCTGTGCTAGACTGTAACCTTCATGAGGGATAATCTTGTCTGTATTTCTGGTACTCTGAACACTTCTGGACTCACAAGATGTGCTCAACACATTTGCAAAATAAAGGAATTAGTGATGGAGAGGTAGACACAGTGGTACACAGAAGAGACAACATATTTTACCCCCACTAGGCCACCCTCAGTGCATTTATATTCCAGCTTTTATCTTTTCCTAACCAGGTTCCCACTATGGACTGTATATGTAGCTGATGTTCATTTGTATGCCTGGCTAACAGTGCTTGTTTCATTGCCACCACAATGGGGCCTATGTAAGAGTGTTAGATAAATACTGTGAACTGTCACTGTATTTCAGTGCAAATGTCAGATCAGCCTGAAGCCATATCACCAAGAATATTTCACTGAAATGAAGTTTATGAATTTATAGATCATTGCTGATATATGATATGGCACGGTTTTCCCTGATAAATTTTTGCTATTTCAGGTATTGACAATCACATTAGACACATATGTTTAATCAGATTCTTACAACAATATTCACCACGGAATACTGAGATTCAGATTAGAAAGTTACCTCGTCTGGACAGTCTGTACCATCCCACCCATGGTGCCGTACATGTTAGCTGTGGACATCCAGAAATTGGTAACCAGCATATTGGCAAACACGGACACGCCAATAATTGCACAAACACCTGTTGACAAAGAACAAGAAAGCTTCAGAGTCAGCTTAAAGGCAATTTATGCAGAAGTGAGTTTAGGTGAGGATGCTGCAGAATATTCCATTCCTAAACAGAATGGTCAATCAAGCATTGACTATTGAATTCTCACAATGTGTCAGATGATGACTGAGATGCTTATCTCTTACCTCATGAATTCTGGGAGGGAGGGACAGAAGCAGGGCAGAGAAGAGGGGGAGTGAGATAGGAAGGAAGGGAGGGAAGGAGAGAAGACAGAAAGAGAGAGAGAGAGCGAGAGAGAGGGAGAGAGAGAGACAGAGAGAGAGGGAGAGAGAGAGGGAGAGAGAGAGAGAGGGAGAGAGAGAAAGAGAGAGAGGGAGAGAGAGAGAGGGAGAGAGAGAGAGAGAGAGAGAGAGAGAGAGAGAGAGAGAGAGAGAGATCCCATACATCTAGGGACCAAGGGTAAATAGTCCTATTTTGGGTTTGATCCTTTGATGTCAAGAGCTCTTTGCTTGTATCATTTTCTTTCTCAATAAGAAGATGCCTTTCAGGGATTGGTTACATGATTACCTTATATGATCCTCTTATATTACATTTGGGGTAACAGTTGAGAAGGACATTAGCACTCATGAGAGATCTATAGCACGGTATTAGATTTCCACACTCAGATCTTGAATCCCAGCATGAAAAAGTCTGAACCATGTTCGTTAATATGGAGGAGCTATGTTTCTTCAACTGGGATGGTTTTACTTTGACGTTCCTAGAAGTACATTTGAGAGCACGATCCCTTGTTTACCTGAGACAATGAACATGATCCCAGAGGTCAATGTCATTTTGGCCTTGGCAGAGTCATCCATGCCGCCAATGCGGATGCATTTCAGAGCAAAGATGGACACTAGGATGCTGATGGCACCCAGCACAATCCCCACGATCATTAGGGCTCGCACTGCCTGCAACCTACCTGTGGGGCGAAGGAAGACACAAGCAGACAAATAAGACAACCTTAACACAACTCATTAGACTCTGGGTTTATAAAACAGCAATCACAACCAGCACTGAACCTCTGAGAAACAACAAGTCCTGAAGAGAAATGAAAAGTGGAAAACTAACAGTCTTCTGACTGATGAAGGGTATGCATACAAATGTCGAGAGAATGAGAAAATTATGGGTGATTGGGAGGACTCTTGGACTTTATTTATTTCGGTTACCTCATTTTACAATTTGATAATCTGGGGTCCAGAAGGGGAAAATGATTTGTCGAAAGTAACAGTCAAGTTACTGATAGAACTTAGAGTAAAACCACGTAGCTTTGATTTATAATCCAAATCTATCTTTCCATATGAATTCAAAGTTTCATAGAGCTGTGTCCACTTTATCAGTATTAATGTGTCACATATAACAAAGCCAAAGTACATAATATAGCAACAGTATTCTATTTTTGTTCCTTTTCAAAAGCAACTACTAAGGCCACCGTGAGTTGTAGGTTTCAAATGTTTACAGAAAAAATCAGTATATCAATATCAAGCTTTTCAACATGCCCATAGTTTATTGTGGTCTCCTTTCTAGGAGTCATTTGCAGCTGCAGGTTCTGTTGGACTCCACCATACGGACCCCCTCCAGGTACATCCAACTTTGTTTCTATTGCATCTTAAAGTGCAGTGACTCATTGTGATAATTGTTCACTGAGCCCCTACAAGTGGGCATAGTTAATAGGTTAGACATATCTCTGCTCTCAAGGAACTTAAGCCAAAGTGTAGAAACACAGTCACTAAGCACATCTACCACAAGTATAATGAAATGTTACAAGGAAGGCAAGCGATCCTTGATGTCTCCCAGAGAAGAAGTTTCCCACTGTGGGTCAGTTTGGTAAAGTGCAGAGCTAGGCACACACATAATGTGCTCGATACCAATCGCTTTCTCTTTTCGGTATGTCTTCCTCTCTCTCTCTCAAGCCCATGATTCCTGAATGAGCTGCCATGTTTTCATCAGTGCTTTTCAATCTACTTAAATATTTTAATTTATGATGTCATAGATTTAATTTCTGATGCCTTAACAGAATATAAAATTGCATTCTATGAGTGTTACAGAAATGTCAAATTATTATAAAGTTTAGAAATATTTATTCTCAGTTTTGGGAGTAAAACTATTCAGATAGACAATGAGCAGCTTGTGGGCTGGTATGAGATAGCACTATAATAGCACTATTGACCCTGATCTGTCATGTCACAAATTAGTGCTTGACTAACTTGTTAATGATTCCAGTATGAGTACCTGACTCAAACGGGGCAGATGAGACCCTTATGCAGGAAGTTTGTATTTTAGACACAAAGTGTAATATATAGTCTTAGAATTCTATGTTTTTATCAGGGGGAGAAAGCTGCTGAATAATAACAAGCATACCAAACTCAAGAGAGAGATAGAGATTTCTGACAGTATTTGATCTCTGGACTCCAACTATTCCTAAGGTCTGGCTATCATCTTTCCTTGGGATTGAGGGACTATCGTAGCATTAAAAAAACCTCTTTGAGGCTAATTCAGGTGGGGGTTCTGTTTCTTGAAATCGAGTGGTTCTAATACATGTGAGACGGCTTTGTCACTGTCTAGAAATACTAACTCCTAAAGTTGTACTGTTAGTGGAGAGTTTCTATTCTTCAAGAGTGATATGACCAAAGTGGTGTTGAAGCCCCTTGCACTTGTGAGGGACTTCTTGTGTCAAGTCTACAGCATAAAGGTATCATATCCTCATAGACAATGCCCGAGAAGGGGGAAAGGGCATAATTTTTCTTTCATTCAAAAAACAAAAATTTTTTTTCTGATTATATAAGCAATAGACACTTATTCAAAAATTTCAGAATCTATACAAAACTATAAACTGGAAAAAAAACCCCATAACTCTTTATCCAATCTCTTGAAAATAACTATTTTTTTTTTTTGGCATCTTGGTTGGTAGGCGCTTTTTTTTTTAAAGAGGAGAAATAAAGTTCCTGTGAAGGTGGTACTGCCATTCACATCCAAGGGAGCAGTTAACAGCCACGTGGAAATGCAGCTGCTTAAAGATGATACAGTTCTAATAGTAAGGGGGTTGGTCACAGGCTACATCCAAAGAAGATAGGCATTCTTATCTTCAGTGAGAACCTTTAATAATGCCCAGCCAAAGTTGAACTTTACAAGTGGAAAGAAACAGGAGAAATATTTAGAACTTTGCTTCTGAAAAAGGATACCTAGACTGTTGCAGGCAAAGTCTCCTGAAAAGTATAAACAGAACTAAAAGCTCTGTTGTGCCCCAGTTGTCATAGTGGGCTCCTAATTTTGCTTCAAAGCTATTACGATTTGACAGCCATTAAACAATTCAGTTCACATAAAAAAAAAACCCTACAATCTAGATAACAATCTTATCTCCATTTTAGAGCTGAAGGATCTGAGGCTTAACGGTGAAGTAACTTGCCACTGGACAAGCCTGAAAAGAAGGGCAGTGCTAAAGGTCAAACTCAGAACTGTCTTGGAGACCTTACGTTCCTATCTCAGTGTGTTGCTTTGAGGACGCTGGAAATACAGGTGGAGTTCTGGCTGTTGTCATGGTACAGGGAGCTGCTCATGCCAAAGGAATGTGTCTTCCAAACTTGGAGACTTAGCCAAAAAGCGTCATCTTCTGACAGCGATGTTAAGAATGTGTAAAGGGACACTTCTCCAAAATCATCTCAGGGGATAACTTGTCCCAGGAGGTTACTTAAGAATGTGACTCTCGAGACAAGGACATTTCCGTCTTCTCTAAGAGCTCTTGAGGGATCTCTAATGAACCACATTGGGAAGATTTTCATCTCAAACAACAACCAACGTCAGCAGCACTGCCAGCTCTAAGGTGTGCATTCACTCTAAGGTGTGCATCCTAGAGCAATTTGGCATGACGTCATGAGGTAATCAATGAGAACTACTGAAAAAGGAGGGTTAGCTCATGCACAATGTGCCAGCATCTTCTCCCTTTCATAAGGAAGGGAGGCTCTGGCAACCTTTTCACCAGCTGTCTCCCTATGGCAGAAGAGAGTGTTTAGGGACTTCCTCCTGAGAAACTTTGCTTGTCTGTGGGGAGAATTCTGCAAGCACTGACCACCAGTCTTGGTCTTATTTGGTAAATGTGTTGGTACACGGTATGGACTGTGGATCTAATCTATCCTAGAGAATTGATAGCATTGGCATTGTGGGATGGCAACTGAGTTCTAACGGTAGAGCATTAATGATTCCAGTAAGGTGCAGAGAACTCATAGAAATTAGGGGTGCTATATGATCTAATTCTCATATGGGGAGGCTCTAGTGTGTTACTTTTGTTTTTCACAGCCTTGCCTGTGACTTTGTTGGTGCCGCAGGATGCTGGGAGCAAACACTTTTGTTCATTACCTCACTAACAAATACAAGCATGTGCTATCTGCTTGTGTATTCATTTATAGCTTTGTGTATTCAAGCGACCACACTGGTATACTCTCATGGTTATAAATTAACATACTCATACATTTACCTGGACTTCATTTTTTTTTTTTTGTACTGGGGATTGAACTCATGACCTCACACTTGCCAGGCAGGTTCTTATTCATCAAGTATTTTTAAAGCTTAACTCTTGTTATCCTTTTTTTAAAAAAGAGAGAATAAAACTCAATAAAAACAATAGAGAGTTTCAAAACAAGATGCTAGGAAATTAAAAATGGGTACTATGTTGCATATTGTTGTGTTCAAAATCAGATTACCAGATATAGGCATGCAAAATTGATTAAACAATATAAGCACTAACTGTTCTTTTCAGTGAACTAATGAAATGATCTTAGCTGTCTTGTGTATGTGTGTATATATATTTTCCTCCTTCCTTCTTTTCACCTTTCCCCAATTCCAGTTGTTCTTTCCTTTTGAGCAGTTTCTTTCCCTTTCACAATATCTATTGTATCTTTTGGATTTTGTTTACTCTTTCAGTTTCTTACACCAGGGATACCAAATGCTGTAGGATATATAAAGTTTTGTGAGAAATAATCTTTGCCTGTAAGACTTTTTACAACCTAAGAAGATTATATTTTTACCAGAAGTCCTAAACTTTAAATTTATTCTTATCCTGAGAATATCTTGGCTGAGTAAACAGAAAGGAACAATTCTGTGACAGTAGCTCGTTGGGTGGGTCCAGTTCTCTTTAATCCATGTAAACCACATGGCAGCCCCGTGGGTCAGGACTGTGATGTGGAAGACATTTGTGTGGCAGCCCTTGCCTTCAGGAAGCATTCTCAGGCTACTCTGTTTCTGGATATTACTATCAAGAAATAGGACTTTTGAGAAAAAGAAGAACCTTAGACATTCACTCCATTTTGTTTCTGTGAGCTTCTCCCAAATTTAAAATCTACCCATCAAATTCTTAGAAGATCTGAAAACTTCTCTAGTTCTAATTTTTTAAGCCTGAAGCTATTCAGAGAACAAAATACTTTGTGCCTTTTGAGAAGCACTTGGTAAAGCATCTGATTACAACAAGGCAACCGGAAGCAAGGAATCAAACAACTAACTAACCAAACAAAAAATATTTAAGCATACAAGACCGAGGATACTCCTTCCATATTCTATGAAAAATCAGACATATCTCACTCTCAGCAAGGAAGGGTCATGGCTGTCTGATGGATGAGTGGCTTTTTTATTTGTTCCTAAAACATACCATGCACATGCTGTGGGCATGGGTGTGGCTGAGGCGCAGGGCTCCCCCATGTGCTGAATGAGTGATGGGGAAGCTTGCCAGGGTGTGTGTGGGGGTCTGTGCCCTTGACAGCTGCAGGTGGCTGCTGCGGGTGCCCACAGGAGCCCCAGGGGCTGTCTGACCCGGTCAGCCTTTGTCTCGGTTGTTCTCTTGTCTCTGTCATCAGGTTCGCACCAAAAGCCTCATTTCTTTTCTACTCTCTCTTGGCCTCCAGATTTCTGATGAATTCTCGATCTTGCCTTCAA